ATTTTAATAAAGTAATAAACATATACATGCCATACACAATAAATTAAACATTTTATTAGTGTATGTCTTATGACTTAAACTATTAAGTGTAAGTACAAATAATAATTTATTTAAATCAAAAAAATATTAGTCTCTTAAAAATGTTGTAATAGCAAATTTTCTAAAATAATTGTATTCTTCACTTATTACAGGATATTGATGCTCAAATAAGTAATTTTAAGAAAGGTGGCTTACAAACCTTAATGATAGCAGGCAAAAAGTGTACCAACATTCTCTTGAAGCTCGCTATAAAAGCTTTCCACCTCTATGTAAGTTAATCATTTTATATATTGTATGTTTAAATCATTTAAAACATTTTTTTTTCTCAAGGGGATACAAGCTGTTCAGTTACAAAATATTAGTATGAATATAGATACAACTTTGATTGAGAATAGCGAACCAGATGGATATATTAATTGGGAAGAAGTCATTAACGATTCTGAAGATGATACTTCATTCAAGATGACAAGTTCTTCAGAATCTTTAACGTCTTTAGTAAGAGAGGAACCACCTGAATATTCCTTTTCAGACATGTATGGAAATGCATCAACAAATGGCAATGGAATAACATATGATCCACCATCGTCTAACACACGCAGAAGAAAAAAAGCCCCATGAAAAACAAAGGAAATAAATGATTTTATATAGGTATTTGATACTAAAAAWATTGTATTTACAATTGTAGAAAATGCATACAGTTTTTTCAATGTGTGTAATTTAATGTTATTTTTATATAACACTTTTTATAATAGATGATCTCTTTTTTCATTAAATATATATTTTTATACTCCATACTGTTAAGTTTTATCTTTTTATACGTTTTTATATTATGTAAATATAAATATTACAATACATATTGTATCATCTATCAATAGGCTATTTTACACATTACATTTAGATTCTATTGCTCATGAACTCCATACCTAGATGTTTTGTATTAATGTGTCATACACTCATATAAAACTATGACATAAAAATTGTGTGTTTAGTAGAATCATTAGAATTATTATTTAAAATATCACTGCGAATTGTCATATTAATAAGTTATAAATATTATTATACCTCATTGGTTAAAATTTTTATTTTTATTTTTATTTTTATGCATATTATAGCATTTTAAGATTGTTTTACATTGTTATACTGCTTAAATGTAGCATCATCTTAATAATTATTTTGACATGAATATGTTGTATGGTTGGGGTTTGTCTAAAATGTATAATGATTT